AAGGAGCTGTTTTAGTTTATTTTACCAGTATTTTGGTCGATAAATACCAACTACAGACTAACTAGGTAAATACTGTACATAAAATTTTTTCTGAATCTTAAGTGAGGAGCATGGAAATACTAAATAGAAACAAGAAAAGGAAGTATAAAAGAACTGGAGTTCTGTTGTGTATAATATACAGAAGGGTAGAACAGTTAAAACTCAGCTGTAGTAGTAAGCAAGGTATGCATCAGTAGCAGTGAGTACCGGTAACTGGAGAGGGAGTGAGTGAACTATTAAGACTTTAACATGTTCTGTATAATGATTTATCATACTGTATTTATAGTGTAAAAATATAGCATTTTGGGTGATACAACTATGACACATGTAATGTACTGAGTGTCAGGGATCTGTGGTGTTGGAGACACATTAAGAGCATGATAACTGAGGAAGTTATTTGGGAAGTGTAGAGCAGTATGGAAAAAGTTTGTATAAATTGTATTCCAACACATAATCAGAAATTTGCTGTCATGCAAGTTGGTGTGCATAAACTAGACTAAAAGACTGCTATGGCGGAATGATTGGTTATATACAGTATACAAGTTGCTAAAGCTACAAAAAGGTTAGATTACCAAGAACTTTACTTTTAAACTTAATTAGTTCTAGTGAAAATGCCAAGATGAATGATATCCAAGATTTAGGATAGGTTAGGTAAGGAGAGGTCATAGAATATGGGGTAACTGTACCTTAAGGTCAAGTGACAATTAGGGTCTACATATAGAACTCGATTTTGTAGTGCAATGCTGATCAAAGATACTTTTCCATGCTTTTTAATTAATTTTTAAAAGGATCTCTAGATATCTGAAGACAAATCTTCAGAAATTAAGACCACATGTTTTTTTTATGAAGTGAATGCCCACAAAGCCTTCCTAAGACATTGTCCTCCAAATTATGTTACCCTTCCATGGTTACTTTTTATGTTCAAAAAATATACAGTACATCTCATCTTCAAGGTGAATAGTGTAGATAAAATAATTTGAAATAATTTTACACATTTATAGATACTTAATACTGTATACTGAAATACTGTGAACCTATGACTGCACAACATTTTGGTCAACATCCTTATACTGTACAGCATAGCCATTTAGAGCAACTGGAAAAGAATTCAGGTATATTTTTCTCAGTGCTAGTATGAAATGTTTCAACAAGTAACTTAAACCTAAAAATATCATGTTAAGGGTAGACATAATTTATATGACACTGACTTAGCCTGGTGGGTACACACAAATTATTTTCACCTTCTTCATGTTACAAGCTCAGTAATGTAGACATTGCTATAAACAATTCTTTACACGTGCAAAAAAAAAAAAACTATTAAATGTATTAAAGTGAATATAAAGCATGAGTATTATTGCATGATTATAAGGATATACAGTACTTCATTATATTGTATTATTCCTCTCTAACATAATTCTCAGCCAGCGAGTTCTGTACGCCCATATTATTTGCAGAGTAGGAACATGATTATAAGGATATACAGTACTTCATTATATTGTATTATTCCTCTCTAACATAATTCTCAGCCAGCGAGTTCTGTACGCCCATATTATTTGCAGAGTAGGAACATAAGCAACAGATACCATCATCAGGTTGAGGTTTAGTGAGGTAAGAGTGGTAGACTACCACCAGGTGGGTCTGAGAGCAGTACGGGTAGGATGGAGAGTACAGTATAGTTAAATGTACAAGGAAATATGGGACGAAGGAAAGAATTTCTGGCCAATATTTTAATGTCATAAAGTGAAAAGAATGCAGTTCTCTGGTCTAATATAAAAATAAAACCTTGGTAAAGCCTAAGGGGAAAAATCAAATGTAAGTCACTGCATGCTTGAGGGGTAAACACAAGTTTGAAACCAAATATGACAATGCAGACTGGAGCCACCATAAAAATGTGTCGGGGAATAAAAGCAAAAAAGTTTAGGAAATCAAAACATGGGCAAGAATACATGCCAGGATGACTTGCCCATATGTCTGCCAGCATTATAACAAGATGCTGGGCCCATTAGGGATAAAACTGCATACAGATGTATTTACCGGCCATAAACATGAAAAATGTGTAAGATAAATAGACATGACATAAAGGGAGGATTCAGAATGAAAGATGAAAACAATAACAAAAAGAGATAAGATATAAATGCAGAGCCAACTATCAAATTTGGGCTGAGAATCAAGATATTACACAAGAAACTGTTCAGATATTAAAAAACAGGTGCCAGGAAGCAAGTTAATGCTCAGAAGTTTAGGTTAAAAACTCAATGATGTTATTAGCTAAGATCAAGATTAAAGTTCAGGAAGAGTATGAAAGCTCGGGAGGTGAAACACAAGGATTTGGGAACCAAGAACAATAACAGTGATCAGGAAAAAGGACTCAAGGTTGAATGCCAGCTAGAGGAACTGGTTTTTGCAAAAGATGAGCAATAACCATTTCATTGCTAAGATTCCAATTCTTTGTCTTGGAACATAGCAAAAGTAGATATACAGTATATAACACTGATGAGATACTTTAAAGTCCAGTTGGCTCTGGTCCAGTTTTCTTGGGAGCCCAACAGAGTAGTGGCCATGCACAGTGGAGTGTGTATGGGCATGCCCTATTCCGGCCAATCTATTCCTTCACCCTTCGCTGGGCAACAGGACACCGGTAACTCTCAAATTTATCTAGGTCCTACAGGACTGAACTATTTATCAGTGGTGCCAACCATGGGTAATGCTTAGTATTCATTAATACTAGATAATCTTCCATGTGACATATACAGAGAAATATGAAATAAAAAGGATTCTTTCATGTGAAAGCCCACTACAATATGTAGTGTCAATTTAAATATAAGTTACCATGTACATTGACATTTTTTGGTCAAAGAGGTTGGCACTGCTGTCGTCTAGGGAGCATATACTGGCTCCAACATAGACTAGGACTATAAAGTATTGGTTGGAGGTGACACAATTGGACAAGGTCTTGCACAAATGAATAAGGGTCACAAAAATGGATTGGGCAGGTTATTTGAAGGAAATGGATCAAGATATTCACAAACAAAGGTCTGGCCACGTAAAACAAGGTCACCAAGGTTAAGAAAACATGACAATGGCATTGGTTGGTATAAAACACATGGGCGGAGTTCAGGCACAGTTGCTCAGGATGCCATGATAAACCAACAATACTCCACATCATGATGCTCCCAGTGACTTTGAGCCAGTGCTATCACATTATTAAGGTAATAAGAATTTTAAGGTCTTTAAGGATCACAGTTTCTGGTGATGACATACAGTGGATGATTGGCTCACATGAAATGCAAGTTTAAGCCACACGCAGAAGATGACTCAGCCAATGTGCCAAAATTTTTCAATGATCTACCTGAATGAAGATACAACTTAGGGATGATCACTGCCCTGAATGGATAATATTGTTGAGGTCCTTAAGAACTATTGTATCTGAAGATACTCCAGCTTTCCAATCTACACATAAGATGTTTATAATTCTCAGAGAAAAGAACATTATCATTTTGCAGATTCATAGGATCAAATGTACAGTGTGACAAGGTCTGCATGCTAGTACATCTCCTGAGTGTAGCTGCTAAGTGTGTTCAGGCTCTACCCTACTCTCCAAAAGTTTTTTGTTTCGCACTTTTCTCATTTAATTTATCTACTGAACAACTTTGAATACAGTATATCTGTTTAAAAATCTCATTTAGTGAGGCAATTCTTCTGGCTCATCAACCAGCAACTTTATTCACTTTTAGAGCAGACCAGGACTATATGAGTGGGTAATGCGGCCTGACAACTGGATCAACACATGGAGAGGTTGACAATGGATAATAGAGGTAGACTGAAAGCACGGGGAGATTTGGGACAATGGACACAACAATGGGTTAAAGAGAATAAATGAATGAAGGAATAAATTAAAAAATAGGAGACAGTAAGTACAGAGTGGGCAGGGCTTAATGCTAGCATTATAAGCATATTCAGTGGATTGACTAACTAGGTTCATACAGGAAGAGAAATCTGGTTTCATAGCTCAATGTGGCAATTAAAAGGGAGGAAGCAACTGTTGTAGCACTCTTGACATTAATTCAGTATACCAGCTAATAATTATCTTACTAGTGGCATTAACGACAGTAACAGGAGAAGGCTTTGGTTTCTCTAGCTGTAGAGAAAGGGTGCAGCATTGTTGTGGTGTTTTAAGTTTTTAGTGATAGGGTGATACACAAGATCTCAATACTTCCATGAAGGAAGTACTGATACTGCTGATTATATTCAAATGTATGATTTGGTATTGTAAAGCTGCAAGATGTTTAGTGCAAGTAGTATACTGTGTTGAAAAAAATAATGGGTCAATATGTCTATAAAACTACAGATTTAAGCAGCAGTTGAGTATCCACTGTTGTCGATTCAAGATGATAGTACTTGGTGGGAGAACTCATGAAAGGTATGGGTTGTATTGTGATTACAGGCAAGGGAAGCAGCTGGACCTCTATTGCTGGAGGTATTGGATAGTGGTATTGGGTGGTGTCATGGAGGCGGCGTGCAAGGGTTGACACAGAAGGTCGTTCCCTTCACACTCCTTGCGCCCTCGTTCAAACCTCGCTAGGATCTGGTTAGCCAAGGAGTTTAGGTCTCTAGCCAAAACCGTGATTTATGTATAAGGAAAACATGAATGTAAAAGCAACAAATGTTAACACTCATAAAGGGACAGTGTACGATAGATGGCAGTAAGCCAGAAAGCATAGGAATGGCCACAGAGGAGCAGGACAACACAACACACACACACACGCACTACTGCATGCCCACCCCTGCCCTACCCACCCACTCCTGGTGCTGCTGCTGCATGTAACATCCACCACTCATCCCTACACTATGAGGCTGCCAGCAGCAGTAACAACAGCAGCAGCAGCAGCAAGAGTAGCAGCAACAGCAGAAGGGAGGGCAAGGGTGGGTTGCAGCCAGGAATACGTGACCAGGCGCTGTACCTCTTCCCATGCTCCCGCTTGTACTCTCCACTATACTTGGACCGGTTTCCGGCCAGCTCTATAATCTCGGGAATGCTACTTGCAAACAAAGC